TATAAAATAAAAAAAAAAAAGAAAAACGGGGTTCGGCTACATAGCTACCCATCTAACCTACTTGCTGTGAATTGTCCAAAGGGTTTGCAAGATAGCCTGATACACCTTCAAACTATTTTAAATGGTAAAATATAGATGCAGTATGAAGGTAAATTTATTTTGTGAATGGGAACATAAAAGGGTCAGCGCTTCTGTGCAGTGCCCAAAATGCTATCTGTTTTATTCTGCTAAAAATGAAATTATTTGGAAACCTGTCTTTGGTGGAAGTGATGTTTAGATTGATAGTAAATCTTCTGCTGTGGATAATACCAGTTTCAGAGATTCATATGATCAATATGTAAACCTTTTTCTTTCCTGCTTTGTCTTGTAAAATGTTCTGGGACTCTGTTGTATCAAGTACTATAAATTGCAAATGAACAGTTCTTGCCATCATCCAAATGGTAATTAATGCAGTATATTATCCAGCAGTGGCGCACACATGGGTGAGAGACTACATCTATGATACAAATTAATACCCTCTACTTTACAGAGGTGGGACTGTACACCCACATTTTTCCAAGATTTAGGGATTTTGAATTGGGCACATCTCTTAACTCTGTAGTTCTCAACTTGTTCACATTTAGGGTGCATATGTGGCCATTTGAATGTCAGATGGATTGCATCTTTTGCTTCTTGCATATCCACTCCAGCAGCATTAATGCAAAAGTATCTTTTCAAACACCTTTGCAATCACCATCTCCCCACCAAGAAGCCATAGGGATCCCCTTAAAGACTTCTGTGGCCATTCAGGCCAATATTTGCCATCCATTGAAGAATTTCTAAACATTGATATGATTAGATAAAGTTCACTACTGAGAATGTGTGGTAGGGGTGGGGAAGGCTCTGTCCATGACTTGGGGTGGAGGGGTTTGGAAGCTCCCTGTTTGCATCTGAAAAGATAACGTCACCAAGTCACAGTTGCCGCTTCTGAAAGGCTCATAAGTCTCAGTGACTAGGTGATTCTGGGTGTGTGGCCAGGGGAAGGTTTGGCGCTCTCTGTTCTCCATGAGAGACTACTGCTGCCCTCGCTTAATCTTGCCCGCCACAACTTTGATGGAAAATTAATAGGAGGTGATGTTTGGTCTGAGAACAGTCGATCCTTGAGCGAGGCAGGAGTACCAAGAATGATCCTAGCCTTGTGTAGCACTGTGTCCTTCAGGACTGGCTGACTGGCCTTTAAGGGCCAAGGTTTGGGAGCTCGTCCAACCCCTGCACTGCCGCCTCATACCTCCAGTTATTTAATTAGTTGAAGTCCTGTCTGTGCCCAGCCTTGTTGCTGTAAGCACCAGATTTAGCTCCTGGGATACCAAGAGTCTGTCCTTTATAAGAATAAATAAAAGTAAGCAGCTCAGCTGCTCCTCGCCTGTCTGGTGCTCAGCTTGCTCTGATGTCCTCTCACCACTGAGCCTTAGTTCCTGGGGCTTCTTGGGTGCTCAGGCCAGTCTCTCTGCTCCAATCAGGTGCGAACTTGGCTGCACAGCTGAGGCTCATGACCCCTGGGGGGAAGTGGCTCAGTCTTAATTAGCTGGCTCCTGGCACTGTTGCAGTTCTGGCCCTGCCCCCTCTCTGAACGCTGACTCACATTGGTGTGGGACTCTGGCATCAGCCTCACTCCCTGTGAGGCTTCCCAGTTCAGCCAGGGCTGAGGAAGGTACTCACCTGGCTCTCCATGCCAGTCCGGGTAAGTCCCAGGTGCTCGCAGGATTTGGGCGGGAGTGCAAGTGGGGTCTCGTCTCATCTCGGCCTGGCCACAGATAACTTGGCATTAATGGTATTTGAATTGATGTCTAGGTTACTAAGTAGCCGTGGAGGAAGGTGTAGCCTCCAGATGGCAATGTTAGACATGTGTGGCCTTCCAGGGTGACCAAGTTAAGTACCACTGGGCTAGATGAGTGACATTTGCAGCATCATTATGGATGGATAAGAGTAGAACAAGTTCATAGTTTGCGGGCAAGAAAAAAGAATACTGCAGTAATTGAGACTTGCGATGAGGATGGAATGGACAAGAGGGGGCTATGTGGATGTAGAGGGAAGGCTGGCTGTTACAAATGTTATACAGAAAAATATTCTTCAAGATTTAGCCATAATCAGGATGTGAACATTTAGAGAGAAATCCTTAGTTTGGTGGCATTAACTAGAGAAACGGTGTAAATGGAAAAGGAGGAGAAAAGGATAGAATGTTGGAGTGAGATGAAGAGGATGCTATGAAAGATGTACTAAAGAAGCAGTAAGAAAGATGCAGACCCACATGGGGTGGGATTAGAGTTAAAGCTAAGGGAAGATAAGATTTCAAGAAAAACAGAGTTGTGACAAAGGCAGCTGAAAAATCAAGGAAGCTGAGGATGGAATACTGATCCTGGACTCTGATTAAAAAAGTGGACATTAAAGACTTTGGCATTAGTGGTTTCACTGAAGGACAAGGTGTAGAAATCAGATCAGGGACATCTGGAATGCAATTGGAGGCAAAGAACTCTAGGCTGGTTGCAGATAGTCCATCTTGTGGCCTCATAGATGAGGAGAAGGGAAATAGAACAGTATTTGGACCATTCCATAGTAATGGAATCAAGGTGGTTCTCATAAGATGGTGGAGTCTAACCATGCTTGTATTGGTGGGGGCTAGGGCAAAAACCAATGAAGTTGAGAGGTTAAGGAGAAAAATATGAGGAGGTGATGAAGGTAGCCACCAGAGATAAGGAGATGGGGTATGGTCACCAGGGCAAGTGGAGGGGTTAGAAAATGACAGGATACAACAAATTTGTAGTAAAGGAGATCAGCCTGATGTGGGATTTACTCCAGAGGCATTCTGCAGTGCAAGAGCAGGGTCAAAAGTGACTGTTGTGTGATAGCTGTGACTGGGAACTGACAAAGTGGCCATCGCATAGGGAGAGAGGAGTGAGAGTTATAGTGTAATGCAGGGATGTGTAGCAGAGTTTGCGTTCCAGGGGTGTTGTAAAGCCCCCTGCTGACCACACAACCCTTGCCCTGCATGAGCTCTAGGGTTCCCTCCTCTTCTCAGTCACCTGCCATGTCTTGATGCATTTCTTTGATTGAAAGGGAGGCTGCCTGAGGGTCCTAAAGCAGTGCTTCTCAAAATATCTGACGTGGCGGACCGGCAATTTTTTTTCCAGTGGGCCAGGGACTGGTGCCCAGTTCAGCCGGTGGCAGCAACTGCGTGTAACAACGCTATACAAATGCGTGACCGGCTGTTTCTTTCTCTTTCCTCACCTCGCATGACGTGACATCACCTGGAGTGTTGGAACGTACAAACTGTGGCACTATGACATATCAATGTTATGCTTCTGAAAATATATTTCTTTCCTGGCAACTTGCTGCGGACCGGCGACCGGTGGCTTGCGGACTGGCACCGTTCTGCGGACCACTACTTTGAGAAGCACTGTCCTAGAGCATGCCCCAGTTTTTCTGACCACCAGCAGGTCGCTCTTGGACCCCACTGGTTTCAGTTCTGTCCCTTTAAAACTAAGTGGGTCCTCGTGACCCACCCTGTGCCACCCCAGGGCACCTGTAGCCTTAAGGGCTGTTACATAGCTCCATCTGCACCTTATACCACACCCTCGCCTCACAGAATTGCTGTCCGATCATTCCCTTGTTAGGGCCTTCTCACTCTCTGTCCCTTTCCCCTGGCTGCAAACCTACAGCCCTGGTGCACAGGTTCGAGTTTGGCCATCTCAGCTTCAGCCGTGTCAGTTGTTAGTATCTCTGGGCCTCTGGCCCCTGTTCCCTTTGCACTGGGCCCCTGGCCTTGGTCTTGCCCTTCTCTTGGCACTGGGCCACTGACTCTGATTCTGCCCTTCTTGGACGGCACCCCTTTCTCTGGGCCTCTGGCCCCTGTGTCCTTTAGGCTGGGCTCCGGGCCTTGGTCTTACCCTTCTCTGGCCCCTTGGCACCTGCCCCTGATTCTACCCTTTTAGGGCTGAACTCCCTGGCCTGATCTCGGCCCTTCCTGGGCTTCAGCTGCTTCCTCCAGGTTTGAGCCTTCTGGCTAAGCCTGCCTTGTACCTTGAGCCACTAGGAGGGCTCAAGATGCTTCTGTACATTCAGGCACTTTTGGGACCTCTGTCAACCCCTAATAGTCCCAAACCCAAATCACTGTTTAAACTATAATCAAGGAATAAGCACAGTGGCCATAACTAGGGATCTTCTGAAATCGCGTTTTTGTGAAAAGATGTTAAACATTTCTGAGTAGGGGGAAAAAACCCAAAAGAAAGTAGCCAGAAAAGGAAAGGGCAGGATGCTCTATGTCCTGAAGCATGGGGAGAAGGAAGGGGAGGAGAGGAAGCAAATTGGAGGCTGAACCATTGATGTAAGCTCAGTCAGGGGCCAGCCAAGGACAAGGGAAGGTTTTGGCACCAGCTTTTTTAAAGCACCCACAGGCAAGCTCCTGCCTGAAGAAGAGGATTTTTCATCATGTCCACTGAGAAAAAGTCCTTTAAAATGGCCAAATATGTTTCAGTGCTGGGCCATGCAAGACAGTATCCTGCTGGGACCTTGCACACAGATGGAGGCAGGTTCTTCTGTACCTCCTACAGAGTAACTCTGGATGTGTCCAGGAAAACCAAGATTGATCAGAACTTGGAGTCTGAGGTGCATGTGAAGAGGAAAACTGTTGCAGAGGCTGAAGATCAGAGCAAGAAGCAAGTGACCTTGTCTTCCCTGTTTAAAAGGACCACAGAAAGTGGATTGGCAGGTTGAGAGGTGGCATTTTCCCTTGTAGAGGCTTTTGTGACAGTGAACATCCTGCTGGAGAAACTTGATCACCTGAAGTTAAAGGACTGTCTGCACCAAAACATGCCAAATGCTAGCAGTTTTCCATTCGCCAACAAGCTTTGCCAAGAGTATCTCCCTTTGTACTGGGGAGCTGAACTGACCAGGACCTGCCTGTGTTTCAAACTGAGCTGGTCTGCCTCGCATCTATCAATTTTTCCAACGTGTCAAAAGCCATCATGATCGTAATTGTCAGCTATGATGTCAACTTTAACAAGATGTCAGCATTCCTGTCTGACAATGCCATGTACGTGTGCAATGCTTTCTCCTATGTGCTCCAAGGAATGCTGCCCAGTGCTGTTCATGTCACCTGCGGTGAGCACATTCTGTCCCCAGTAAATGACATCTGGTGCGCACAGTTCCCTGAGGTGGGTAGCCTGGTATCCTTGTTCAAGTACTGTCCAGGTCATAAGGTCCCATTCAGGGAGTCCATCGAGTGGAGACTCGCATGGCATTGTGCTGCTGCCACCAGAGCCTTTGCTCACATGGTGGAATTCATGGTTCAACGCTGTCCATTACCATGCCAAGCATATGCAGCATTACTGCAATTTGTGACTGAAGAGCTGGAAATCACACCCAACACATAGTGCATGCTCAAGCTTTGCAATCTCTTAGGGCGAGGTAACATTCAAGACCAAGTGATGTTTGTGGCTGACAATGCCACCTGGTTTATGAAGCTCCTAACATGGTTTGAAGGCTGGCAGGCTGTGATCCACCACACACACAACAAGGCGATGGATTTGATAAGCTGGGTCGAAGACAGAGCATCACAGGAACGGTCCTTGTGAAAACCAGTGCGGAAGGGACCTGTTCTAGGCTACAGTTGTGAAGCTGAACCAGTACTACAGCATGATCCGTCACTGCTACCATGGTTCAAACAATCAGCTACCCACTTTGTGCTATTCTGATTTTTGGACCCCAGCTAGGTGTCTTTGAGTTTTGACCCTCAGCTACTGAAAGCAGTCTCAGGATGGAAGAAAGGCATTACAGTGATGTGCTGCTTATGTGAACTTTGTCAAAGAGTGCTTGATGCCTGTGTCTGTGTTCTGGGACTCTGTGACTGGTTTCCACATCTTTATCCCCTGGCAATACACTGCCTCGCCATTCCAACAAATTCGATGAACAGTGAGCGTGACATCTCAGTGTATGGACAGGTATTCACCCCACAGAGACAGAGAATGTCTTCAGTGACTGTGGCTGGGTGCAGCATGCTCTGATTTAATACATAGCATCTACTGCCTGTCTCAAGGTTAGCTTTATTTTCATAAGTTACTTCAGTTTAGAGTATAATTAAGTGCTTAGTTGGTATTAATTAATAAAGGGCATGTCTACACTTGAGCTTTAATGCACATTAAAGCATCAGAAAAAACTATGCTCTTTTGCAAATGCACAATAAAATAGTCTAACGTGTGTTTTTCTAGTACCTCACAGCGGAGGTACTAGATTTAATGCACATTACTTGAAGTGCATTAATGAATGTGTAGACACCTGAAGTGTATGTAGTTGGTACTAGTTAATAAAGGGTATGTAATTGGTATTACTTGCAATTCATGGTGTGCATTGCTTTATTTTATTAAGAGATTTCACTTTAGATCTTAAGGGCTTGGAATTCTTCATAACATGTCAATTAATGGTTTCCACTGGCTGAATCCCCTGATTAAGCCCATAGAATTCTTCATAACGTGTCAATTAATGGCTTCTAAGCTGCCATTATGGCTTTGTGGGCTTGATCAAGCCCATGGAAGACATTAATGGCCATTTAGATTGCTTAGTAACATGTCAATTAATGACTTCCATGGGCTTAATTAGGGGTTTAATTATGCCAGCAGCTGCCTTGATTTCAGGAGATGCTAGCCATACCATAAACTAAACTCATGCTCATTAACAGTAGCTTACTGTCAGAGGAGCCATGCCTCCCCTTGTCCTGCATTACATCCCCTGATAGGAAGCCTTCAGGGCCTTACTTGAATCATTAGGGGATTCCAGGAGTCAGCAGAGCCCTCCTGCAGTCTGTGGCCAGGAGCTTCTCAGGCTGAAGCTTGCTGGGTCAGCCTGCCTGCCTGATTCCTAGGCTTATAGGCAGCCTAATCCCTGCCCCTTCCGGTCAGGTAGCACTTCAGCTGAGCAGAGGTTTTTGGTTAGTGCCTGAAGGCTGGTTGCCGTGGCAGCTTATGACTGTTGCTCTAGTAGCCTTCCTGCTGCAGGAGCTAGGCTCTGCCTTACTGGCCTATTTCCTTAGCTGCCTATTCTCTTGGAGCCAGCTTCCCCCAGGCAGACTGCTCCTAACTGGCTGCATGTGTGCCTCTTCCCTCTAATGGGCAGCTCCTTGCCTACACAGCAGTGTTTCTTTGTTGTCTTCCTTTTTGTAGCTAGCCCCTGTTCCACTGATGTTAAAGATGTGGCCCGCTGGTGAGATTTGGTCCGTGGAGCCCCATCATTTGGCATCTGGTGCTGCCTGCATGGCCCTATGTGTCACACAGTGCTTGCTTCAGGCACTCCGGGACTGTACCACATGTGGCATCTGTTCCAGCAAGCATCAGCTTCAAGCTGGATTCAGTGGTGTATCAGGGAGTGGTCTCTGCATGCGCCGCAGTGCAGCCTCAGTAGAGTGGCTGCTGCACACAGCACTGGGTCCACTCCAGCTGCTTTAAGAGATGTGCTGCATCTGGCATGTGGGGCCAGTCTGTGTGTCCGATTCGGCCCACGGACCACTCCTGCTGTAAGGCAAACTTTTAAGGTTCATTTATCATAAGACGTTGGCAGGAGAAAACAACCAGCAGATCTGATACCAGAATGATGGATTGAGTCTATTTTGGGCTATTAAGCAATTCCAGCTAATGAGCATTTTGCAAATAATGATACAAATGACCTTAATTTTTTTTTTAATGTAGAGTGATCATTTACATACTTTTGACAGTGCTGTTCCATTGGAAGCTTGTAAATGGCTTTAGGTGTATACATTGTAAGTAAATAAATTGTACTGAGCCACCTTACCTTGACTGCCTCACATGGCCCTAGACACACTATCTGAATACAATTCTTGTGGTTTCATTAAACTTTAATGGAGTTGTAAATTGGTGTAGTAACTAATGTCTGACAACTTCAACTGAGAAGATGGAGTATGATTTGAATTATGATATAATAAATCATGATTTTAAGGTACTCGGGATTAAGAATCAAGCAGAAGAAGCTCAATAGGTTTTTTTTTTTTTAACCAAAGTAGTGTTTTTTTTGGTTTTGTCCCTTGGAAATGCTATTAACTTTCTTTTTATTTTTTTCCAAATGGAATTTTTCTCTGCTGTGGAAGCTCATTATTTATTCTGTTCATAATGTTGCGTTCTTGGTAACAAACACAAAATGTTATATGGAAAAAGTTTTATACTTAAGAATTAATATCAGAAAACAGGAACTGGTTTGTTTTCAAATCCCAGGCAGCCTAATCCTGTGTAATTTTTATTGTGTCACCTTGTAATGTCTACACAGTTGTGTTTTCCTTTTTCAGAACCCTGTTAAGAAAATTCCGGATTCTCATGAAATCACACTCCAGCATGGGACAAAAACAGTAAGTGATAATTCCTAAGCTTTTTTATACCAGTAGATTTCTCTAGCATGGTTGAAGCACCATTCACAAACTGGATAGATTTATACTTGTTTGGCTACCACAACAACAAAATTTGAAAAGAAACATGGCAGAAGTAGATGGGTATAATCTGCCATGAAGGCAACCATCAGTGTCTGTGCAAGGTTCTTTTCTTGATTGTAGATCTAAATACAAAAAAAGTCTGATTTTTCATAAGCAAAATTTGAAAGTTAATTACGCTGAGCTTCTCAGTCTAAAGAATGAAATCCCTGAGATTGCTAGGTGTTAAGTACCAAAAATAAAAATTCCTGAAGTGTGTTTTGCAGTGATGGCTGGGTAAATCTTTAAGTGGAAAATTAGATCATAAGAGCACAGTTTTGCTGGAAAGAAATGTAGGCTTTCCAGTTCAATCTTTTTCTCTCTAAAAGAATTTAATAAATATGATCCTATGTAAAGGATTGTATAAAATAAATCTGTCTCAGAACCAGTAAAACATTATATATTATTTGGGTCATTCTGGACTCGTGAAGATCTTGAACTTTTAGCCTCTGAGAATATCAAGATTTCTGCCAATGGGAACCATCAACACCACCGCTTCAGCTGGTTGCCATGGAAACCTTAGCCCTGTGCTGTCACTGCATCACTGCTGCTGGGGTCTCCATGGAAACTGGCAACAGTGATATGGACAGGGGCTGCTGGGAAATGGAGTCCGCTGCAGGCCTGATCCAGCCTGTAGGCTGAACTTTGCCCACCCTGCTCTAGATCCTACCATGTAAAATATCTCTGAACTTTGCAGATTTTTTTCTGCATAACAGTCTCTGGTGCTTGGAAGTAGTTTCCTGCAAACATTCACAATGCTAGATCATTAGATGTATTCCACTCTATCTTGAAAATATAGTTCATTAGCATTAGTGCTAAGAAGCAGAAAGAGGGAGAAAGGGAAAAAAAAGTATTACATGAGCTGTGTTAAAAGGAATTCCGTATGTGGGGAATTTGTGTTATATGAATAGGTATTTTAAATGTGTTCTTTTTGGCTTTTGAATATTTGAAAAACGCAGATTTTCATAAGGGAAATGGAAGAAAATTACTATTTTTGTAGGTACAATCCATGTATAGAATGTGCTCTACTTAATTTTCTGTGTAAACATTAGCAAACAACTTTCCTATTTTGTATGAAGCATTATGTGCTTCTGCAGTATGTGTAAGAATAGGGAGTACCATAAAATTATTCCTGTGTTTTGTACAATTGCTGTTAAAACTCATCTGCTGGAATATCTATGAAAATAAAAATTGATTAATAGCATCACTGATGAGTTTCCCATCATATTATGCTGCTCTTCAGACAGTGTTTAATTTTATGTGGAAAAAAAATCAGATTTTTAAACAATTAGAACATATGTCAAAATATGTCAGAAGAATTCATAAAATATACTTTACTTATACTTGGCTCGTGCTTAGATGTGCCTGAAAGATATATTTTAGCAGCTTGATGATTTGTCAGTGTTTTATACAAGTCTTTATGATTTACATATTGAGTTAATAGATGCTTAATCTTTCAGTATCTCAGTGTAACAGTATTATTCAGCATATGCTCTCATTTCCTCTCAAAGTCCTATTTTTCAGGTATAAAGAAGTTAATTTACAGTAAATGGTCTAAGTGATTTTTGCTTAGTTCATTTACTGAATTGCAAAACAGTTATAGTAATTATTTTATAGATACAACCTGATTAAGATTGTATATAGTTTGCATTTGAAATGCGTGATATATGATATCAAAGTTTAGTGCAAATATATACCAGTAGCCATGCGGTACTTGCCCCAAAAAGTAGTGTACAGATTAAACTATCCATGTCAGAATTGTGAAGTGTTTCTCTAGTATTAACGCAGCTTTTATATTTGTGTGGTATTTTTAAAAAGCAGCTTTATTTTATGTTCAATTTAAAATAAGGAACTACAGTTTTGGATGCCTTTTAGAGATGGTTTGTGTGTGTAAGACTGAAACTATTGTTTTACTGAGCAAATGTGAATTACACGTTTGGTATATATAGTGCATATTGAATCCAATGGACAAAACCGATCATTGGAAAAGGCTTTCCTGCAGAAATGCTGTTCAGTTTGTTTATAATGGAAGTACTCACTCACACATTGATACAGTACAATGACAATCTTGTAAGAAAGAGTAGAACATAATATCCTTTTTTAGGACAGTTTTGTCAATAGTACATACACAGCTTCCTTTTATTAATTTTGTTTTACCTAAACTTACATATCCCATCTGTACCTCTTCAGTCTCATGGTCTTAAGCTGATGATAACTCTATTCCTGTGCAGCTGAAATGTCTCAGAAAAGATTTCCCAAGCTGGAGAGTCTTTCCAGAAACCTGATTAATTTCCCAGTTGCCTTGCTTGTACAATATAATAGGAGTTACTTTTCCCAGTGAAACCAGAGATGAATTTTCTCCTGACAGTTCTGACATGTAGGTGAGTATGAGGAAAAAGTACATAATCCGAGACATTCTGAACTTCAAGCTTTCTAACTTCAAGTCACAGCTGTGTCAGTGTGTAGATAGTAATTGTAGAAGACCCTGTTTTAGAATACTGAGTGTATGGTTCATTGGGTTTGTCTACATAGACGCATATACCAGAAGTCCTAAACAAAGTGAATAATATGCAATAATTACATTTAAATGATTAAATCCTTAATTATGCTAGAAAATGGGAACACTTTTAAGTGGTCATGTTCTGCATTTTGTCTTGTTAAGGATGAAATTTATTCTTAGGCCCTAAGATTAAGAGGTACTTGCATATTATTCAGGATGGTAAGGAGGCCCCTTGCACAGCAATAACATTTAGGACAAGAAGTAAAACAAATGCTGTATGTAGTTGCAAGTACAGGAAAAAATTAGGCATGCATTTTAGTCCAATTGCACAAATTGTAATTTGACTTGCGTATCTGATAACCATTACATTTTTTTATATGAACAGTTTTTTTAATCTCTTCCAAAACAGCACCTTCTACCATAAAATCTCCCTAAAATTATGCTGAGTGATGAGACTAGTAGTTGCTCAGAAGAAGGAAAGTCGCTTTGTGAATCACCAACATCTTTTCTGCAACATCTCCAATTTTTCAGGCAGATCTTTCATCTAAATATTTTCTATTTCTGAACCTGCTTAGGTATGAGATTTAAGAATATTGCAGCCTGAAGAGCAGGAAAATGGAGAGAGCCTTAAATAGGAGCCTGGAAACCAGATTATGAAAACAAAATGTATATTTAAAAAAACCAATCCTGAAAACTCTACAGAAATATTTGTATGTGAAACTACAAGAATAAAACATGAAAAATGCACATACCCCTGTGTAAGTGAGGGAGCAGAGAACATTTTTAATCTTAGCAAAATAAATCATCCATTTCATACAACCAGAATAAAATTCTTGGCTGGCATTTTTATGGAAACACTTTTCCTACAGACCTGTTTTCCAAATGGGTGCTGAGAAAGGAACATCCAATGTTAAATTCTATATAAGTATGCAATTTTTTGTGTGGGAACTTTTCAACAGTTTACATAAGTTTTAAAAGCCCCAATAATATATTGTATATACTATTTATAGATTAAAAAAAGGGTACACTACTACTATGCTGTGTTTTTGAAACAGAGTTTTGAGTAATACTTTAATAGTATGCCTGCATTAAATCTTTTTAAGCAACAGGAAATTTTACCCATACAGAGCAGAAGTTGTTGTACCATTTGTATAAGATTAGTCCAATATCATAATTTTCAAACTGCTGTGCTTAAAATCCAGGTTAAGGTACCCCCCAAAAAGTCTTGATTTTTTTTTTTTTTTTAATGTGTTTTGCAACTTCAGAATAGTTGTGGCTCTTGTAAGGTATTCTCTTCCTAATGAAACCAAACAAAACCTTTTCCTTTCGTTAGGATGCATGCAAGGAATTGACTGGCTCCCCCTTTGTTCTTACAATAACAGATAAAAAAGGAGAGACTAATCACTCAGACCATGAGCTGTCAAGACAAAATGCCAGTAGGTCAATAACATTCCCCTCTCACTTCAGAGAAACTTTGGATTCCAGCCCATGCCCCTAGGAGATACCCAACTCAACATAATTGGTTAGCCCGTTTTTTCTGAACAAATTAATCCAATAATGCCGAAAGGATAATAGGCAAAAGACCTTTGTGTACCATATTTTATCGTATACAACATACCCCAGAGGAAGATGTACACCTTGTTTTTGAAAGGCAGAATAAAGAAAAAAGATTTTTACTTGGAAATTCTTGTAAGTAGCAGTTACTGATTAGCAGCTTCTACAGCAGGAGTCTGTGCTGGGAAAAAAGAAAATGTCCATACCCAGCAGCTGGGGAGCCCCAGAATTAGCACTGTAGTGTAACTTTTATTTTCCCCAGCAAAGGTAGGAACTGCTATTACCATATTTCCTTATAACACATACCCCAGTTTCTAACAACTGAATTTTGGTGGGGGAAAGTGCATGATGTGTGAGAAAAAACATAGCATAACTTGGATCTGGAGAGAATACCAAAGTGCTGGTTCCTTGTGTGTCCCAGAGTTTCCCATATTTGGAAGTATTAAGCTTTCCACAGAAAATAAATCCTCGCTCTGAGAAGAGCAACAGGACCTAGTCAATCCCTCCCCCCCACAACTCCCCCTCCAAACAAAACCCACCTTTCTCTGTCACTGTGTTCTACTTTTTAAATAGTTTTGAAAGAGAGATGGAGAGTGTGAGATAGTTTGAGGCCCTTGAAATGAAATTTTGGCATCATAATTATAACCTTAGATTCTGATAATTTTGACATCCATCAGCTTAACACAGTGTCATGTCAATATTTGGAAATCATATCCCAGGTTCCTGTGTTTTTGCTATCTGTAAAAGCCATGTCTTGTTACATGCACATACACTTCCATAGTATTCTTCAGTGTTTGCAGAACCATACCATACCATGGAGTCAGATGGCCCCATGGGCCCCCAGAGCTAGCTGAAGATCAGCTGAATTTTGGGCACCCAACCTGCTGGTGTAGAAGAAGCCCAGATTCACGATCCCACGCTCCACCTACACTAGCGATATGATATGATTTGGGATCTGATCCCTGATTCCCCACAATTGTGCCTCCTGTCATGTACCTGTGGCATCACACACACCTTCAAGTAAATGCCCATCAGAGACTTCTGGGACAGCGAAGCTTATTAGCAGCTTATTTGTTAATGAGGAGCAGTCTAACGTATTATGCACTATTGTGATTTTTAAGAGGTTTCTTTGTAAGTTTTTCATTAGGTTTTTGTTGTTCTTGTTCATTTGTTTTTGGATTTGTTATGATAATAGAAAGACACATTTGATTTTAAAAAATCATTATTATTCATTGAGAAGAATTTGATGTCAGATATTCTGTACTAGATACTGCTGGTTTTTATGTGTGTAATGAATCCAGAGGGGTTGTGCATTTGGTATTGCATAGCCCTTTCACTGAGTCTTTGTTCCTAAAGCTGACACCCTCTACCACGGGGGTCCAAGCAGGTGATCGAGCAGGTCCAAGGAGGTGTTCCTCCCCCTCTATATGACATTGGTCAGGCTGCAGTTGGAGTACTGTGTCCAGTTCTGGGCGCTGCACTTCAGGAGGGATGTGGACAACATGGAGGGGGTTCAGAGGAGGGCCATTCACGTGATCAGGGGGCAGCAGGGCAGGCCCTATGAGGAGAGGCTACGAGACCTGAACCTGTTCAGCCTCCACAAGAGAAGGCTGAGAAGGGATCTGGTGGCTGTCTATAAACTGGCCAAGGGAGACCAGCAGGCAATAGGAGAGTCCCTGTTCCCCCGAGCACTACTAGGAGTAACAAGGGATAATGGCCATAAATTGACAGAGAGTAGATTCAGGCTAGATACCTAAACTTCCACCCTTGAGACAGCATGCCCCTTAGCCTGGGTACCTAGGAAGCTCCTGGAGTCTTGCTGCACTTGGGCAATAAAGCAGGTGACACCAGGTCTCAGGCAGCTCCCTCATGCAGGAGCTCCTTCCCCTGGCAGTTGCCAGAGAGAGTGCCCTGCTAGCTCCAGCCCTGAGTTTATATGCCCTGGGGCCCTGCCTCCTTTTGGTCATCTGACTACCTGCAGGTGCATGAGCTTGTTGCTCAGAACCTGCAGCTGTGGAGCTCCGCCTAGCTTGCAGAGCTCCATGGCCTGGGTGCTTCAGCCCTTAAAGTAGCCGGCACCTCTTAGTGTCTGGCTACAGGTGCAAACTAGGATTTTAACATGAACAATTGCTTAAAGACCCTGCAGGGATTTTGAAACTCTCTGTTGTTGGTACTGTTATTCACAACTGTAAAAAAGGAAGGAAAACGATGTCTGTGATTGCCAGTCAGAGGGGAGGTAGCCACAAGAAGCTGTTAATGTTATCCATACTTTGATAGATTGAGAATGCCTAGCATGTAGTTCTTTAACTGTGCATTTAAACACGTTGGAATTTTGTAAGATATTTCATTTAAAATGATAATATTACTGGAGGGTAATAATTTATAACAGCTGTTAAGTGTTTATTTCTGAAACATTTCAATTGTCACAAAAAATGGTTTTGTTTTAAGCAATGCATCTTTAATTTAGAAAACTTAATGTTATTGTAAAGTATTTATCTTTTGATTTTCTTTTCTTTTATGTCTTGTTAATGTTGCTGCTTTAATTAGCTTTCTGCAATTTTAGTTTCCAGAGGGGAAGATGTCTTAATAATGCGCATACATTGCTGTGCTGTCTTAATATGATAAAATGATATAGTGTCACATGATAAAATGATAGTCACAAAATGATGCAAGTTAAAGGTCATTTGCTAAGTGTCCTGCTAGAAATATTGCTTGGATAGGTGATGGAAAAAGAAATGACATTTCTTTATAAGCAAAATGCAAACAACTTAAGTTGAAGATTTAGAGGAAACAAAATATGTTGTATAATAACTTTTCTTCTCTAAAAGATGTAATCAGAGGTGTGATACCTTTCCACAGTACATAATTCAGGCTTCACAGAATGTGATATAAACTCTCCATGAAAACCCCGCTACATAGCTATCATGATGATGGAAAAAGCCAGTAGGTGTGAAACATGACTGCGAAACTAGTAAGATTCTATTCAGTGGTTTCATCTTTAAATGTTAGGAAAGGAGAGGACAAGCAAACTTCCATTGACTTATCTGTACTGAATTGCTTTTGGTCTTTCTCTGTAGGTTTCTGCTTTGGGTTTGGATCCCTCGGGTGCCCGTTTAGTAACTGGAGGCTATGATTATGATGTTAAATTTTGGGACTTTGCTGGAATGGATGCATCTTTGCAAGCTTTTCGATCACTCCAGCCTTGTGAATGGTAGGTATTGAGACCACCTTTCTGACTTCAAGTTTCCATATTGCAGTTTTCAGTAACAGTAACTCACAATCTACCAAGCTGTTCTTTTGGAGAGGTTTCGGTTACCCATAATATTTCTGTAGTAGACAAAATAAAGATGAAGAAAGTTAGCTGCTGCTGTCATGTTGGAATGTGGGGGGCAGGTCTGGGACCACTTGTGGATTGGGATGTCAACCAGTGTCAGGAGGGGAGAGAAGAATCCAGGGGCAGGATGAGTTAGAAAGCCAGGAGATGGATTCGAGAGTGAGATTTAGGAGCAAGCCAAGTCAGGAAGTCACGATATCAAGCAGGGAGCAAGCCCAGACTAGAAGCTGGAAGATTGAACATGGTCAGAGGGCAATATAGAGGGAACAGGTAAGTAGTCTTGGCAACAGGGTTCAAATTGATGCCAAACACTTCCTGTTCCTGTGCAGGGGTTTATATGGTGGAAGTGAAAGCATCAGCTGATCCTGACTGGCCATTCTGGTGGTCCACTGGAGTGGCTGGAGGGTTAGCCTTTTCTGGACCCTTTAGGGCAGCTTTCCCTGTTTGGGTGATGAGCCATGGGGTGGCAGGTCTGCGTGAGTGGCTGTGTTGGCTAGCCTGTGGCCTCAGGTTCAAGAATGCAGTCTGATAGCTGTCTATACTTCAAGCTTAAGACTTGAATAATTTGCCCTTTTATCTGTTTTAACAAGCTGTGTGTTTAACATGGTATATGTATATATCAACAAATAGTCAAATTGCTTATTTTAAAACTCAACATTAAACGTAGTTGCAAGTTCTTAATTATATACAAAAATTAAGAGAATGTGCCTTCCAACTACCCTCTCTCCCATTCTTGGAGACTCATTGGATAACTGTATAACAGACAGTGGAAAGGACAGTTTGAGCATCATTTTTAAGGAAATGATAATTATCAGGGATCCAGGGTTTCCGTTTCCCTCAGAAAAATGTGTATTTTCCCTTTTGAAGCGGGAAACCATGGGTTTTCCTTTTTGCAAACAGCTCTCTGCAGGCTGGCAGAGTTCTAGCCTGCAAGAGGTACTTACGAAAGGGCAGGAAACCCTAAGCGCATCCAGAGGCAGCAGGGGAGAGTCCTGAGAATCTGAGTCGGCCAGGGCTGGCTCAGACTCGCTTTCCCTCCTACCGGTCTTTGGAGTAAGTGGGGCTTTTGTGGGTTAGGTCCTGGAGGTGGGGAGCAGCTTGGGGCTCCCTTCGGCAGGGTTGGGGGGGTGGGCCCTGTGGGTTGTGTGAGGCCCTAGCTTCCGGGAGAGCTGGGGCCTGCGGGGAAAGTCAGCAGAGCAGACAGGGCAGGTGTGTGTGGGCAGCGATCACACTGTTGCGTGCTGCAGGCCGGTGTTGGGACAAGATTGGGCTGCCTAGTCCCTGGCCATGTTGCGTTGTCCTGCTGTAGCTCTTCTTGGCTTGGCTCAGGACAGTGGCGGTGGCTTGGTGCAGGAGACGGGGAGCATGGGCTGCACCCCTACCTGCCAAACTGAACACCCTTGGGGCAGGGTTGGGGACTGGGGCTGGGGGCACTAGGGACAAGCACTGCTCATCCTCTGTGCTGGCAGCCACTGCCCCACTGCTCACTGTGCTGCTGTGCCACATCCTACTGGCAGCGCAGTTGGCCTGCATGTGTCCTGCATGGCCCAGGGCCCTACCAGCCTCACCAGTCCGGGGGGGAGCACGGCCACTGTGTGCCCAGCTGCCGAATGGGATTGGACCTGCAGGCAGGAGCTGTAGCCATGTAGGCAGGTGCTACATTTCACCCTGGCCCTGCATCTGCATTGGCACCAAGACGTGGCCCCAGCCTGTGAGATCTCCTTATCCCAAAAGCCACTCAGGGGGTGTGATGGGCTGGGGAGGAGGGGTGGATGTGTGGAGGGAGGTGATGAGCAGGGGAGGATTGAGGTGGCAACAGTGTCTGTGTGTACGTGTCTGTGTGAGAGAGAGTTCATGGGGGGAGCTCTCTGGGTAGAAGCAGCCACCAAAGCTGGGCCTGGAGCCCTCCTGCACTCCTAGAGCAGCCTGTGCAGGGGGGAGGCCAGCTTGAAGGGGAAGCGGCTTGCTCAGGTAAAGGCAGAGCCTAGTCTCTGAGTCCCAGTCAAGGGCTTCCCAGTAAGGCCTTGAGGACTGCTGGGTCCTGGGCACAGGTGTAGGGAGCAGAACAACAGGGGGTGGCACTGCTCAGAGCCACAAAGCAGTGACAGAGGAGTGGGGGAGCTCTGATTTTTCTATGATAAAATCAAAATCAAACACTTTAAATATATAGGTATTTAGAATTTATTTTATTATAATGACTGAGACACTGGTAGGCTTCCAAATTGCTTTAAAATTGTAACTATATCAATAAAATATTGTGTTCAACTGATACTTATATAAAAAGTGGTATTTCATTTTAATTATGGAAAACCACAGATTTGGGATTTTTTTAATCACAGCAAATTTGGGATTATCATCAGAGAATTTGCGATTTTTTTTTTTTAAACGGAGAAAACTAGGATTCCTGATAGTGATATATGTATATGGGGGGGGGGGAGGCGGTATAATGGTAATTATATGTATTGCTTAGTACTTTAAAAGAATATCTTTTATATATAAATGTAGTGCTATAAAACATTGTTTGAAGAGGTTGGCTTTTTTGGCTGTAACTTACTTTAAGAGAATGACTAAGTCTGTAAAAAAAACCAGTTATGTTCAAGAACCAGAGCTCCCTGACAGTTATCAGTACATTTTTTGTTTTGCATCAGAGGGTGGGGAAAAAAAAGTTTCATTATTTCTCCAAAGGCATTTATAAATTCAACCTAAAGGGCTGAGAAGTAGCACTCAGGAGAACTTCCGAGTCAGTATCTTGGGTGGAGCTAACTTGCACACAAAGAAATCATAAACTAATAAAAAGTGTAGTTAAAAAGGTCAATGGGAATGTGATGCTAATACTTCAAAAGTCTTTCCCCAACAACAGAAAACAATTGTAACCCTTAAGACTCCTGGCATACGGAGTCTTAGTTCTTGGTGTCTCTTAGTGGACATAATTTTGGAAGTTTGAAAAGGATAAGTAATACCACATAAAGGATACTTGTGGATGTGGCGTTACTTCCTGTCCTGTGTGGTGAATGATATCTACTCTGAAGCATGAGCTTTAGTTACTTTATTTTAGTCTGTTCTTACTACTTTAAAATTATTTAGCCCTTCCAGAAGCCAGCCACAGTGTTTTACTTTGTCTGTATCCTGCAAGGAGAAATTCCATAAGTTGTTTAAACACTTCATTTTATTTATTATTGTAGCAAAGTAGGTTTAGCTTGGATATCAGGAAAAATATCTTTACTGTTGGAATGGTGAGGCGGGAGAATGAACTGCCAAGGGAAGCTGTACAGTGTCCTTTATGGGCTGTTTGCAAGAAGAGCTTGGATAAATATTGGTCAGGGATGATTTGCTATGGATTAGGACTATGAGAAACGGCACTGTTCTGTTTCGATTTGAGTTTGGAGGTTTTGATGGAACAATGTTTTGTTTCGAATTTCATTTCGATTTGAAACAGCTGTTCCGTTTTGCTTCCTCAAAACAGTGAGGCTGTTTCACCCCTGTTTTGACGTTTCGCCCATTAGTTATAATGGGGAAGCTCGAAACAGCCTCTCTCATCTGGCAGGCAGATTGGGGCTGCAGGCCCCCGATCTGCCTGCCAAATGAGGGAGGAAAGCCAGTGTTGCCACCTGTGACTGGGGAAGGGAACTGAGCCCGATTGCTCAGTTTCCCTACCCAGCACTAGATTGGGCTGGGGATGGGAAGTCAGCCCTTCCCCTGAGCTGTGATCGGCTTCCTGCAGCCCAGTGGCGGGAGATGGGGAGAGCCAGGGATGTTCTTCCGGCTGCTGTTGGGAGTGCAGCCCTGGTTCTCCCCTGTCTCCCACCACCTCACTGCTGGCTGCTTTGAAACTTGAAACTTTTGAAACGTTTCAACTAGCCTCGTTTTGTTTCGAGGCTGTTTCAAAGCCCTTCGTTTTGATTGGACTTCGCTGTTTCGAGCTCTAAATGAGTCGAAACAGTGTCAAATCGAAACAGCTGGCGAAATTTCGCACAGCCCTACTATGGATCATGCTATGAAGAACAACAGAACCCAGAGACCTCCTAGAACATCTCTCGGAGACTGTGAGAACAGCAGGTGATAATTTGAGAGGACTATGCTCAGCTGCAGGAGAATTGAGAGCTCCACAACTGACCTTGTTATGAAAAATTGTTACAGGATCCCCAGCTCTTCTAAATTTATGAAAGAGATAGGATGATAAAAAAAGGAGTTTGTGCTGTCCGATAAGGATGTGTGATGTGTGGGATAATGTTTGTTGTCCTTGTGTTGCAGTACCAACTACACGGTGTGTGTATTATTCCATGTTTCTGGGTTTTGTTGTTGGCCATGTGGGGTCAGGAAGTACTTTTTTTCTGCACCTATCACTACAGGTGCTAGGGATTTTTTTGTTCAGGGGCAGGGTATTTCTTTTTTTCCCCCTCACCTTCCTCAGAAGCATTGGGTGTTGTCCATAGCCAACACTGAGGATTTTGACTAGGGTGTACTGATGTTCATGTTGGGTCCTAAAATTCCAGAGGTTCCTGGCTAGATGTTCAGGTTCTTGGTCCTTTGCTCAGAGTCAGATTAGTTACCACACGTGGCAGCAAGAAGAAATTCCAGCCCATGGTCTGACTGGCATGGACTGGTGGGGGAGGGAGTGCGGGGTTGTCTTCCTGGGGGGGAGGGGGAGGTTGTCTTCCTCTGGGGGTTTATTCCTGGGATCCTCTTTCATGGATCTCTTGAGCATATTCTAAAGCTACTTCCTCACCTTGACGTGGCAGGACATTGATAGTACCTTAGTTCCCATGCTTTATTTCTGGCAAGTTAAAGAGTGATTTTGATTTGAGGCAGGGATTTTTTGGTGGTATCTTTTAGTGGATATTGGACTATCACAGCTACAACAAGACTCCAACCCTACT